GAAGCCACTGACGCCGTGGATTCGCTGACGCCGCTGACGCCGTGACGCCATTGACGCCTACATCAAACCACGGCGGAAGCTTGGGCTCTACCCTTTCTTTTCCGCAACTCAGAGGGCCCCGCGTCGAGAAGTCAGGCTCATGTCTGTGCACACCGAACCGTTCAGAGGAACATGCCAATCACACTGCATGATACTGTCGGGCATCAGAGTTCTGAGATAAAACAGACGCTTGTATGGAATGCTTTAAAGTGATGGAACACCCTCAATCAATATTTAGCGACGATCAACATAGTTTTAATTCAAACAAATCACAAAGATTAGTATAAAGACTAGGGAATAACACGCAAAACAACACTGACACACGCGAATGTAGCGGAGAGGCTGATAAGAACATCAACGAAGATGCTAAGTGAGAGGTTACAAATACATAAGGGGTCTTGGACTTGCAACCAGTTTTAGAACAGTATAATAGCAGGATGATACATAGCACGACAGAGTTAGCACCGAATAAAGCACACAAAAATGGAAACAGCATAGAAGCAAAAGCAAATTCAGCAATGAAAGAGAATTAAGAAGTTATCCGAATATTAAAGCCGGTGATGATGTTAGAGTTTTTGTTAAGGTAAAGGCAATTATACATCAAGAAAAGAAAGTCGTAGTCAGTGGAGTGAGAAGGTGGATGAAGCGAAGGAAGTTAATAGGGACCTGCAAATGAATAAATAATTATGCCACTGAAGGGTTGCCAAAGAAATATATGAGGCAAGAAATATTATCAGTGACTAAATGATTACTAAACTACTTAAAGACAAAAAGCCTGAGAATAGTGGAGAATGAGTGATAGGATGAAGGAGCAGGAGGATGAAATTAAGCGTTATGAAGAACAACTGAAAGACTTGAATGAGGACATTGATTGTTACAATAGTAAACGAATTAGGTACAATAAACAATTAACTCAACTAGAAGAAGAAGGAAACACTCTGGATGTAAGCAGTAAAGGAAAAATGTTGCCAATGATTCATTGTGATATGGCGGTAAGATTAACAGATAAATGTATAAAGAATAAAATGTATTCAAGACTGCAAAAAAGCCATTAAAAGCCTAACATCACAGTAATTCTCATACTTTAAACATAATATGATGGCTAACAGACTTAAAGACAACAGCACTTTTAAAGTAGGGACTACGACCATTCTAGATTATAGCAGGTGCAATAATGTAATGACATTAACAAAGCCTTAACACCGACATTGACAAAAGTGGTGCCTGATGAAATTGACAAGAATACTTTATCTTTTCACAGTTGTAAGAACTGTGAAATGTTGATAGGGCGATCAGTCGCTCCTCATAGAGATGTAAGCAGAATAGATCATCAAATAATATATTTCAACATTAATCGTCGTGGCGTATATAACCCATCAAGTAATCCCAAAACTAATCCTACACAGTTTGAACGTGTTGTTGATAAAAGCGGACAGCATTTTGTGACTCTGAAAGAGTTGTACGAAAAATTCAGTTTAAGGAATATCTTGCAGATTTTCTTACACAATATACAGATATACCCATAATGAAATATTCATATTACAATAAGTCGTATCCTAACAGATTATTATGCATATCGACAATGTACGAATACTTAATGGATTTAGTGGGACATGAAAAAATGTATATTGGTATCAATGAACTAAGTGCATGTTTGAATGATGTGCTTGACAAAGCCTGAACATGTATTGATAAGATTAGATTTTTGTACATCTTTCGTAAAGCGTTTGGAGTGGGCTAGTCCTAGAAAACGTGTGGAAGTCATTTGCGATAATGATAAAAAGAGAACGAAAACTGTTTAAACAAGATTAGGGATGAGAAACGGTTGAGGTGACGATGCGGATGATGAGGTAAAGGATAGAACGGACGAGGAGGCAATACTTATGATACCGGAGAACGTGGTGTTAATGATAGAAACGAGAGAGGAGGAGGCTATGATATGAAGCGGATGAGGGGCGACACAAGGTATGATACACAGCCCAGAACATACCCTGATACACGCCCTGGCATAGGAAGGGCAACAGCACAGAATCATCCTCTTTCCTGTTGTTTGGGGGAAGCGGGCGGGGTGCGGGGGAAGGTGAGGGGGAGGGCCCGGCCTATGTTCTGCAGAAGCTGGAAAAGGCCGGTGCGGCAGTCCTGGAAAGGAACAGGAACATAGCAGAGCTCCAACTGACACAACCGTATCAAACAAACGCCCGATCCTAGATCAGGTCATAATATTCGTACTGATATGTTGTATCATACTAGCACTATGCATAGAACTATACCCATATAACCATGTTGTATGTGATGTGCGCTGCCACCGCGATCGAATCTTTGCTGTCCTCAGCGGTGATGTTCTCGCTATCGCCACCAGCAGCCAGCCGCAAGAAGGACTGGACAGGGGCAAAAGCACGGATAAGTTCCCATCAAGGCAACCTTCCAGCCCTGCATCGGACAGCCAGCTCTGCCAGCCCTGCTCCTGTCCTCCAAGTTTTCGGATTCGTTCACGGGGTTCATGCGCAGCAGCATCACGAAGGCATCCCGACCGATGGCAAAAGCCTGGATGCTATCAGGACTTGTAGATATAGGTATAGATAGTGATAAAGATATAGATATAGATATAGATATCGATATAGATATAGATATATGTATATATATATAATGTGTATATACAGATATATATATATATGTATATGTAGGTATATAGATATGCAAATGGCCCCAAAAGCGAAAGCAACAGCTATGGAGGCCACATCTGACCGGGCCGAAGCTGGCAAGACATTCGGCTCTAAAGCCGAAGGATCGGTCACACCTTGGGGACCGCCATCTCCGAGTACAGATGCAGCTGGAAAATGCCACATGGCTACCAGTTAGGCCCGAACATATCGTCAGGTTTCACAAAGATGAAACGTGCCGGAAGCCTCGTTGGTGGAGGCGATCTTCAGCAGCTCTGTATCGACGTCTTGCACAGCACCTGCGCCGGTTGGTGTTTATGGAACACTCCTGCGTGCCCTGTCCTGATGTTCTGGGGTCGAGGCTGTGAGACTCGATGAAGCTTCTCAGCTGGATATCGTCCGGTTGCAGGGCCTCCTGCAAAGATGTCATCAGCGGTTTAGGGCCTTGGGGGTTTGGGGGTCCAAGGGCACAGAGTGGCGCCCTTGGGCTGCCCCCAGGCCAGGGTGTTACGACACAACACGAAGCAAGTCTAGCGTCACTTCCGTGTTTCCGCTGCAACTCCCGAGAACGCGTGGCTCTCTCAAGACCCTTACATGAGCTGGAAGGTTGCTTTTATCGCAGGTTGCCCGCTCCGGCTACTGCGAAGCTTGGGAAGGGATCCGCCAAAGTCAGCTTGCAGCCTATCAGTGGTGGAAAGGATCGCCAAAGTTTTTGGCAGTGCCAACAAAGACACGAAGAAGTACAGGGCATTGAATCTGTAGAAGTACGCAAATTGGAAAGCATCACAGCGGCCAGCTTCTGAAATAAACATACGCAGACCATGGCCCTAGCTGCCCTAGCTTTTCCTGCTCAAGCGGAATTCCGTCTGCAATGCATGGTGCGTATTTCGCAAGGCTCCCTAAGTCGCCTTGGGAGCCGTGGGACCGAGGAATGGCTCGCTTGCGCCAGCCAAGAAGTGCACGAAAGAGGTGCACGAGTTTTGTCCCACAGGCCAGAGAAGCCGAGAACAAGCAAACCAACGCAAAGAGCCTGAGAGAAAACCCCTGATATCTGCACCCATGAGGAATACTCACCATGATCTCGCATCTCCAGTCTGTCCAGTCCTGGCCCTTTGCAATGCTTGTGAAGGCAGAGCCGAAGGCGGACTCTTCCGCGCCCTGAATTTCGGACTTCGGCTTTCGGTTCTCGTGGTGGGGTCTCTCTCCAAAAACCGGGCCTCCAGGTCGGCGAGGATGCTCTCCAAGCTGAGCTTGGGCGCCCTGCGCGCGCCATCTCGCGCTTATAGCGAACGACGCGTTGTGGGGTGTCCGGTGTGCGGCCTGGCGGGTGCCGACGCAGGCGGCGAGGCGACCGGTGCCACCGATGCCGGGGCCACCGTCGCCGCGGGCGCCGCGGGCCGGTGGGGTGCCTTCGGCTCCAGCGCCTTCCAAGAGCCACAGCTCCGAGCGCTCTGAGGTCAGACTCCGCTTTACATCTCATCTCTGACTCTCCGTGGCACCGGGGCTGGCGGCGGTGGAACGAAGAATTCGTCCTGGAGCACTGAGCACAGGCGTGAGCAGAGAGCACAGCCCACAGCCCCAGCCGCCTCCTCTTCTGGCAACGCACCACCGGAAGTAGAGCCTGTCGCCAGCTCTCCGGAAGGAACTACCTCTCGAGGCGCGCCGCGCCTTTCTTCGCTTGCTTCTTCGATTGGTCCTGGCAGGGCACAGGCTGCGGAGGTACCGACTCGGGAAACTACTCGTGACGATGCTGCAGCATTCGAGGACGACAGGCCGGGGCCCTTATGACCAAAGCCATGGAAACTCAGCCTTCGGGTAGCCAGCATGAATGCAAACATGGCAGACCGACAATCTCCACTCGCTGCTCCTCTGCATCCTGACAGGCCCGTGAACTTGCCCAAACGCTCTTCTGCGACGAAACCACGTCAGGGTCCAGAGAAAATCTACAACCAACTTCACTCTGAGCATGTTCGAAGACCGACAGGCCCATCTTCTCAAAACTGCTTAACAGATGCCTCACTAGCTCCATAGCCGCATCCGCATTCTTTCGCCAAGTCCTGACTCATGCAGACGATTCCTGCAGTGATGGATGTGCAGAAGAACCGTGGTCCTGTCCCATCTTGGCCGGTGACTACACAGTCGCAAGCAAAGTTTGAGCCTGCCCTAAAAGCTAGCAGCGGCGATGCACCTCTGCATGCACATCCGAACAAGATAGCTATCTCTTCAAGCTACAAACAGAAATTGTGTACCGCTTTGTCTTGTACAAAGATGTCACGGCTCTGCCAATTCTGCGTGCCGAGCCCACTAGGAATGTTGGCGATCTGAGGACCATGACCTCGGACAGTCTCTGCCCTCTCTGGCGATATATCGTTGCATGTGCTTGTGCAGAGGGTGTACTGGATGTCTGAAGACCTGAAGAAGCCTGGCAAATACAAGCAAAGCCCTGCGCCGGACCTGAGAAATGAGGTCATGCAGCGAAGCTTCGGAAAGGGAACTATGACACGACTTGCCAATGCCGTCCTGTTGTGGACCTAGCGGGCCTGTATCACGACAGAAGTGCTGGGCATGGGAGTGGCTTTCGCAGCATTCACTAGCTGAAGCTCAGCTTTGCGTTGTAAATCTGGGAACTTGTATGCTCGTGAAAAGACGTAAGCAAGGCTGCGAGGTTGATAGCGAGGTGACAATTCAGCCACGCTTCACACAAACCAACACACATAAATCTCTATTTACAATTATAGTTATACACATTTGCTGAATCAAAATACTATATAGAATATATTATATACTATATACTATATTCTATGTACTATATACGCTGTATACTACATACTACATCCCTTGTGATTAATATGTACTATCTACTATATATTGTATGCTTTATACTGTATACTACAACTTATAGACTATAAACTACGTTCTATGTACTATGTGCTACTTTCCATATACTATCCACTACATATTGTAGACCATGTACCATATACTATATACCTTGTACCAGTACTGTATACTATATACTAAGTTACTGTATACTAAATGCATAGTATACACTAAATGCTTTACACTGTAAAGGATAAGCCATAAACTATAGACTGTAGAGAGAGGAGCATATACTATAGGCAATATAGTTACGTGTATATATATATATAGAGAGAGAGAGGCACAAATTCAGTACAAGACAACATGTCCTGAAGTGCTGCGGCCCTGCGGCCTACGAAGCAATTGAGCACTTTAGCATGGATGACATGGGGCATGCTCACCGCGCAGAAGAGCTTTGAAATCACCAGTCCGACTACTCAAGCAGCTCTCCGGAGTTGAAACGCCTGTTGCTGAACACTCCGCGGCCACAAAAGCAAGATTATGACACTGCTGCTTCTCTCGCTCTTCCTCGCGAAGCGCCGACGTCCTTCTGCGTGAGTTGAGTCGCGGCTGGACGATTTAACTCAAAGCCTTCTGGAACTCAGGTCGGAGTTGTCTATCCGTTTAGAATACAGCATGGCGGCTTTCGTCTTCCGCACAAACACATCCCATTCTGAGCTGTAACATGCACGACAAACACTTGGGTGAGACATGTGGCACAAGTACGAGTTACAGCTGCCCTATGCGACCTCAAGACAGCCGCAAGAGCTGTCGTGAAGATTTGGCGGCGGGCATCAAGGAAATGCTTTTCTGTAAGGATACTTTGCGGGCGATCCTGTAAAATCAACTTAACTGCGACGCAAAATCTATTCACATCATGGCCAGAACCATGCACGGCCCACAACTTCTGAAGGCCCATGGTGCCTTCGTAGTACTAATGCCAAGTTTCAGCACGTTGCAAACGCTGGCCGTCATGCGACAGCAGCAGTATGCCTCTTGTCAAAAAGCTCCTCCCAGCAACAGCTTGATCCGGAAGCAGTGCACAAGGACAGAACAAGCATGCTCTCACAACTACAACATGCAACATCTTACCTGGTTTGATCCCGTGGCCTGCAATCTTGCCCATTTCTGCTGCCGGGCAGCCTCGCGCCTGAGAGGTGACGGAGTCGTTCAGGATGTCTGACCGATGCAACGATCTTGGCTCACGGCTGCTCCTCTTCATCATAGGCTTCTTTGTGATTCGCAGAACCTTCGTCAACAGCAACGAGCCCTGTATTGTGGAACCTAACCGCGCTATGCTCGGAGGCAATGTCGCCGGGCTCCAGGACTTATGTTGCTGTGTCGAGCCCTCGCTGTGCTTCCGGCACTCGTCAAAGAGCTGAGGATCAGCTTCCATTAACCTCATCTCTGGAGAGGGATTCTAGCACACTGAAAACTCTTCGCTCTATTCGTGCTGTCGCGGCAAATTTTGGCTGGCAGAAGCATCCAAGACCGCAGCAGTTTAAGGACATTGAACGTGAGGCCATGGACCGCACCTGGTGAAGAGGGAAAACAGCATGGCCGCTTGCCACCATTTTTCCACCGAGCTTCGCAACTGGAACATGAAGTATACAGCCATACATAAAAACATATATATATATATTTATTCATTTATTTATTTATTTATACATACATACATACATACATACATACATACATACATACAGATGCATAGTAGACATCGGCAAATAGAAAGAGACAAACTTCAGACATGCATGCATCATGCATGCAGGCGGACAGACAGACAGACAGAC